AAAACAGAAAGAAGTGATGAACATTTTAGAAACCTTTAGCTTGTTTGCACTGACTGAACAACACAGCTAGAAATGTTTGTATATCACAAAGGGAGTTTGCTATTTATGCAAATCTCCATTTGGACAGCTGTAAACTATTGTAAAGGAAAACTGTTTCATTATAACCAATTTATATTGGCTTGTAAAGGGGTGTACCCTGGAAAGCCCTGCTCTCCGACCACAGCTAGCCACAGAAAAAAGGCAGCAGAGAAAAGGCAGCAGAGCTGGGTCCTCCAAGCTGCTTAGAGAGGCGGCAGAGCAATATAGCCAATCAGAGTCCAGCAGGCTCATATAAAAGGAGCTGCAGGACCCAGCCAGCTTTGTTGTTGACTAGAGCCAAAGAAAGAAGGATGCTCTTCCTAGCTGGCTGAGGAAGCTGCAACAGCTGCAGCTGAAAAGAGTGGAAGTGTGGGAGACTCCATAGATACGGGGCAAAGGAGAAGCCCTGCTTAAGCAGGGACAGGGCTGTGGAGTTCCTCAGGTCCAGGGACTTGGGAAAGAAAGCCTTGACAAGAAGGGCCAGAGACTGTTATAGGCTCTCCAGGTGAAGGGGCCTGTGAGAATGAACCCTGAGAGAACAGGGCAGAGACTGTTCCAGACTTTTCAGGCAAGCAGCCCAGGGAATGCAGCAACAGAGGCTAGTGATCAAATGAAGCTGCATTGGTTTGGGGCCCGGAGTTGTGGGCAGGACTGGGTCCTCCCCTCCCCCACAGGCTGAAGTGGCAACACGTTTTGCCTGGATCCCAGGAAGGGGGCAAGAGCTTGAAACTGCCAGAGATGGGGCTGGGAAGCAGAGGGCAGTCCCACCGTACCTAGCCAGCAGAAGGTGTTTGTGGAAGGTGAATAGCCACACCTTTACACAGCTCTGTGTAGAGAAAAACACAAATGAACTCTTCTCTGTCGGGCTCTGCCCTGTTACTGCTCCATGCCTTGGTTTGCCCATCTATAAAATGGGAATAAGGATGCCACACTGGCAGCCTGTGAAGCTTATATCTAAGG